CCTCCTCCTCCTCCTCCTCCTCCTCTCACAGGCTGAAGAAGAACTGGCCAATCCCTCGTGTACGAAGCCTGACCTAAATAGACCCCTCTTCACTCCCTTTCTCCTCCCCTGCCTGATGTGAGGCTGTTTATTTGGGATTAGCGAGGCGTTTCCAGATTAAAGCCTAAGACGGAGCCATCCTGGTAGTTTGACTGAGGGGACAGAGCTCTTCCTCTCTCAGTCTTCCTCACCCTTTCACCTGTGCGAGTCCTCACCTTGTCCTGAGGGCTGAAGGTGATCTGAGTCGACCCACCTCCCAAATCCAGCATCCCCACTGTGGGCGAGTGAGCACTGTGAAGACCACCTGAAAAGAGAGAGAGAGAGGGAGGAGGGGGAGATTAGGAGGAAGAGCGAGCTGCAGTTTAATCCAATAACAGGTAATCACCGTTTCTTGTGCACATTAATCTGGTTTGAAACACACACACGCATCATAAATCACACCAATCCACATCCACTTCCTGCTGCAGTGTTAAAAATGGAGCCAGTGTGCGTGCTACGTGGAGGCCCGCCTCTGTGAGGACCAACATGAGGTTCGGGGCTTTCTGAGAGGACAGAGGTCATCTGTTTGGGAACACGAGGTGGCGGTTTCACCCTGAAGTTCAGTCGTGGGCGTGGACATCCAGCCTCATGGTTAGGGTGGAGTTTCTGACGGCATGATCACATGACCAAGGAAGAGGATCGATGAAGACGCAGCGCGTGCAAACTCCACACCACCATCGTCCACTGAAGACTCAGAACCCAAACACGCCAATGACACGGGTACCCCAGACGCCCAATGACAGGACGGTTCATACAAAACCTAAAAGTCAACATCAGCTGGGAGCACAGGATCACACGCCCCTGCTGCACTAAATAAAAACGATGGTGAGCGCTCTCACCTATGAGGAAGTTGACGGTGATCCAAGCAGAAATACCTGAAAGGAGAAAACGAAAAGGTTACAGGATCGCTGGATTCAACACTCAGCTGCTCACGCGCTTCACTGCAAACTCGTGTTTCTGTGCTGCAGCAGCAGCGAGCACGCTAACACGTAACCATCAATATGAACCGTTTCTCTGGGAGACGAGACGCAGCAACGTGGACCCGACTCTGGAAACAGCTGTTGTGCAGGCGACACCAAAACCAAGACTCATCACAAGTTTTAGTCTTTGGCTCAGAAGGAAGTTGGTTTGGAAACACGTTTGGCTTCGTTTGCGTTTGTGTGGGAGCCCCGTCAAATACCTGTCCTCCATTACACTCGCAGTGTCCAAGTGCTTTTTTTAAATTCACACTGCGCCCCCCTTGTAATGTCTCTGCGCCCGTCCCCCCCCCCCAGAGTAACCAGACGTGACCACAACACACGCGTCGTATTCAGGACTAACTCAAGTCCTGAACACCTTGCTGGATCCTGATTGGACGTATTGTATGCGTCTCTCCTGGATCCAGCTGTGACCCTGAGCTCCAGATGTTTGGCCCAGCTGTAATGTCTCTGCTGGTGGATATGTATGGGAATGTAAGTTCAGTGTTTTGTCCTGTATGGACAACAGGCCCGCCTGCACATAATCCAATCCTTTTAAAGTAGTTCATACAAGCAATTATGTTGGTGTGGGATAATGTCCCACTTAATCTAACGGGGGGATTATGTGTCCCGTTTATTTCTGAGGCTGAAATCTTTTCTCTTTCTCCTGAGCGGGATCACTACTCGTCCTTGCTCGTCTTTTAATGATCGCTGAATTTGCCGTTTATCCCGCTCTGCTTTTCCTCTAATGGACAGAGTCCTGTGCGGCGTTCCCGACTAAACTGAAGTCTGTCTGAACTCCCGCAGCCTGACTGTGGCTCAGATGTTGTGCCGTTCTTGGCCAGCATGCTTATCCCGGCTCAGATTACCCTGGGCCCGTCCGAGTGAAGCGACTTATTGTTAATGGGACCTCTGAGTGGTTCCTGGGAGGCGGCCGGGTGCTAAGTGCCAGTGTTTAGCCGACTTTCTCCGCCTCTTGTTTGTTTTGTTAGGAAATTGCTTCTTAGCGTATCGGGCTAAGAGTTTTATGGTAAAGCCCCTATGATACAGTTTGTACCGAGCCCCGTAATCACCCACTCCTGCATGCCCAAAGGTCAGAGGTCGCTGCTAAAAGGCACTAATGGATGCAGCTGAGTGCAAATACCGCACCACGGACACTAAAGTCATCTTTGAGTTGACCTGAATAAGCAGATGCACTTTACTTCTGATCAGTGAATGACTTCACTGGTTAACCTTCACTCTGCATCCTGATTGGACGATTTACAGGAATCAAACATGTGAAACATGAACTACACTGTGCGCTCCGCCTCACTCTTAAAAACAGAGGCCTCTGAAAGGACTTCCATTTCCAAACATTATCACCGCCTCTCTCCTCGCTGACCGTGGGTGTGGCTCAGCAGGTAGAGTGGGGTCGTCAGCCAATCAGGAGGTCGGGGGTTCAGCTCCTGCACGATACTGAAGGCCGAATTTCGACACAGAAAAAAGCTTCCCGTGTGAACGAGGCCCATGGGGCGGTGAGCGAGAGTCTGACCCTCACGGCCAGCCTCGCCGCCTCTGTGTGTGTGTCACATGGCTGATGTCACCGACGCACCTACGCCATCGCCTCGTTCTCGCATTCAAAGTTGGATACCCACGCCGCCCTGAACTAAAACCTGGTTTATCCCCGCCCCTCCCAGTTTATAGTACTGGATGATTTTCACCCAGTAATTAAACATATTTGCTGCTTCGCTGTGTAGCCTGATCATGTTTTCCTGTAACTGTAGAGAGGAAGTGTCTACAAATCAAACCCTGAGCCGCATGCCGAGCTCCGCCTCCCCCGTCGTCTCCTCTTTAATCCTCCATATTGACGCTTTCCGTTGGGGAAATCAGAGCCGGAGCTCGGTTCATCACCGTCACAGATTAAACCCGAGGAGACTTGCAGATTCCCTCTGATCTAATAATGTCATAACGAGATGAAGATCCCGCTCAGGACGAGACCTCGCGAGGGGTCACGACCCTCCAGAAACTCCCCTCAGATCGCTCCAGGTGGATCTATTTCCTGTTTCTGTGCCGTCATGCTCTGCTCCTGCACCACTTCAAAAGAAAAGACCTCATCTCAGCCCGGGAGCCAGAGCCGGCCCACGGGGCCTATCCCACACCGTTAAGATGCTGCATAAGGAACTCAACAGTTCCTGTATGCATTTCAAATTAAAAGCCCTCAGCAAATGAGGCTTCTGTTGTGAAATATTTTCAGAACAAAGGTCATCTTTAGAAAGTAGGAGTGTGCGGGCTGATCAATCAGAACATCTTACCTTCATCGGTGCCGTCCATGATGGACACGCTGTCATCTGTGGACAGGAAGGGAGACTCCAGGAACAGCGCCCTCACCTGGACACGAAGCGAACGATCTTTGAGCTTCACAAAGTGAAACAGTTTTATTTCTGCCTCCCATCAATCAGTGATCTCTGTTTAAATATAATCTAATATTTAATGATGCATTTTTGTAAAAACGACCCCCCCCCCCCCGTAATCTGCAGCATCAGAGCTCGTCTGATAATAAGAGCAAAGCCTCAGATTAAACCACATTCTGGCTCGCTGCTGTAGTCCTGTTATTACTGATTACTTAAAAGATTTAATAGACTTTCTCTGTTCTGGCTCCAACATGACGATGAAGAGGAGGAGGAGGAGGAGCAGCAGCCAGAGGAGTTATCAGTCTGACCTGATCGATACCTGATCACAACATTTTAAACATCTGTGCTGGAGTTATCGTTTTATTTTGAAAAAACCCTAAATGTAGCTGTTCCATTTAGAAATAAAAAATGCAATGAGGGAAAAAATTAATTCAAAAATTTAAATGATTTTTATAAAATACGAAGTCTGAACGATACGAAATAAATAAAAGAATTGAAAAACTGAAACGTGAAATAATAAAGATGAGATCAGGTGACGTGTGAGTCTCACTCTGTCCAGCAGCTGGTCGGCTTTCTCTCCAGGAAGTAGACGCAGCCCAGCCGTCGCCTTCAGGACCACGGGGGTGGAGGTCCAGTACGAAGGGGGGACGCTGGACTTGGCGACCTCCAAGAGCTCCACGATCCCTGCAGTGCACTGGACACAGAGGGAGGCTCTGAGCATGCTCAGTCTTTATGTAGGACTGTAGGTTCGAGTCGGAGCAACAAAACTACACTCGCTGCACCAACTCTAGAAATATTCACTCACAAATGTGAGCGTGTCGGGGAACTTGTTTGTTACGATGAGAAAACCAATGCTGAACATCAGCGCTGATAACTGCACAATTCCTAAGCAAACAGTATTTGAATGTCACTCTGGGGCTGTTTGCTGTAGGTTCAGTCAGTCGACCCATTCGAGCGTGGGACCCGTGCAGCCCTCCCGTGGCCCCTCGTGTGCGCCCTACCTGCTGCGGCTCGTCGGCGTACGCTGACAGTCCTGGTTTGATGGCTCTGAACGTCTCTTGGGCCAGCTTTGGAGCTCCTGCGGGAAAAAAGAAAACTATGTGACTGTGAGCTTTAAACAGATAAAAGAGGCAATACGTCGGCGCATTTAATTGAATTTCACTGAGTGACCGAGTGACCCTGGACCTGTGCCTACATTTGAGCTGTCATTAAGCTCTTAATGACAATCCCAGCATGTATAACTAACAGGTGCTGCCATTAGTCCAGTTAGCTGCGATGCTAACAAAGGAGCCAAGACAGCACTCAGCCTGTGTGATTTAGCTTAGCGCTTAAATGCGATAACGAAGGCATTTGGCCGAGCGCTGCAGGAAACTTTCTCTAAGCCTAATAAACCAGAAAGCTCTAAAGCACACTAATGAGTTTGTGTCCATTTGAACTGGCAGCAGCTCCCTGCAGCAGGACTTAAAGGCTGAAAGCTCCTCTTGTCTGCACGGATTCACGTCTGGTAATTAATGCTCGGAGCCAACATGTGGATTTAAATACACTAAAAGCAGCACTATATGATCTGAGAGGATGTATACATAGAGGTTTAACACCCACACATCCCCTGATACACATTAATATCAGCTGCTACTAAAACAACAACACACGCATACTCTCATTAAATATTCATCATTCAAATTCACACACACACACACAAACTCAACTTAAACTTGAAGGTTTTTAAATGGAGTTTGGTTTGGAGTCACAGTGGACGCCATCGAGTTCCTTTAAATTGAAACGAAAATGTAAGAAGATTCAAAGCGTCAACATCAACGTGTCTCATTGCTGCATACACAGTGGTTGCTGTAGAAAATACCAACATCAAATATTCAGATACGTCAGGAGTTTCTCAAAGCCACCATATTAGTCACGCTATTTCTCAGTTTTCTGATCGGGTTACAGTCTGATGGAGTTCCAGATTAACAGATATTTGAATTAAAAGTCATGTAAGCTACCTACAAAATGGTTAAAATGCATTTATTGTGTAAAAATTCAAAATAATAAAGAAATAAATCCACAGTGGTTACAGTAAAAACTGCAGTTTTTAAATGGAGTTTGGTGCAGGATTGCAGTATTTTAAATTTCCAAACAGATCTAAAAAACAGTAGCACCCTGAGTCTGTCTGAGTCCGTGTATTTATCGACAGATTGTTAAATTCACTGATATTTGAATGGACTTTGGTTGGGAATCAGTTTATGTGGCGTAGCGAGTGTAGATATGTGACTACACAGCTGCACTCTGACATTTACAGAGTCTGAAGATACATCAGGCAAACTACATCGTGCTATCATCAGATATATGAATGGGGTCTGGTGTGAGTTACACTGGTTGTTCGGCTGTACCTTTGTCCTCTATCTGGAACTTAAAGACATGGATTCTGGTTCCAGTGCTCCCAGCATCAAACATGATGCCGTACTGGAAGCGCCGTCCAGCATCAGAGGTGGGCCCGTCATCTGCGCTGAGGTCTGAGTCAGGCTGGCGGTGAGGAGGTAGTCTGTAGGCCTCCGGTTTGGAGGTGGAGTAGTGATGCTTAACGAACATCAGGTAGGCAAACAGGCAGCACACGAAGAGGAAAGCTCCGGCCAGCTTTGGTCTCTTCATCGCCTCTCATTCTGTGTGCAGATGCAAGAGCTGGTGACCAAAGACAGCACAAAATATCCACATTTATCAGAATACTTTATTGATCCCTAGGGGAAATTATTTAACAATCACATTTAACAGCAGACCTTTCACAGCGTCTCTACACACATAGAATAAAGTTCAACATCTACCACTTCACTTCAAACAAGATCGCTAAAAGCTACACACTCTACTGGAATAAGGAGTCTAGTGTGAAGTCATTTCTAAGCAGTTCATGTTATTCAGCTTACACTTGAATCTCAGGTTAGCTTACTGAAATGAACAGCTGCCAGGAAAACAGGACGCATGTTAAGCTGGCAGTTTTTTAAATGGAGTTTGGTTTGGAATCACGTTCGCTGTTTTGTTAGGTGAAACACATTTTGTATAAGTCACTTTAAACAGAAAAGGCAGAAAATAAACGTTTCCGTGTTTGTAGCAGCAGTTTCTCAGATACTAACAGCTAGCTGAGCCCGCTAGCATCAGCCGGTTAGCTGCAGGCTAGCATCAGGCTAACAGCGTCCTGGCGCGGGGACAAGCGGACAAACGAGTGTTGACGTACCGAGCAGAAACCGTGAGCGGCGGCTCCCGTTAACCAAACAACCCGGTCACTTTCCTCCTCTTCGTCACTTCACATCCACTCATTCTGGACTTCCGTCAACGACAAGGCGCCGTGTGATGACGTCATAGTGTGCGGCGTGGACGTGGCAACAATAATAATAATAAAGAAAAGCTAATGATTCTTTTCTATTATATATATATTATAATTACGTTATTGTTATATATAATAAAAAAGATCAAATTAAAACGATTCATTGAATTTGTAAATGTTGTTAAAATGTTTTTAACTTTGTAAAATTAGCGAACTGCAGCATCACTGGAATCACAAACAGGAGCTCAGGCTCTGATTGGCCACAGCATAGTTTCCATTCAGTGCTCTGCAGCATTTCAGTGCGTTAGTGTCTAATCCTGCTTCACACAACATACAGCCTTAAAAATGAAAAAATACGTATGATGAAGAGGAAAAACCACAAGAGTGTGTAAGGTTGAAGAAATGTGAAAGATGCTCACATTGACCTGGACATGATTCACAAATACCGCAGCAGAACTGGCTTAGAGACAAAGAACAAAGGCACAAAAGGATCAGCTCAACAGAGACAGAAGTGATGAAAACGAGCAGAAAGACAAATAACAAATCTAAGATGCACCAAAGCTGCCAACACACAAGAAAGAGACACAAACATGCAGAGATGCAAAGAGACGCACGTGTTCTTCAAGTGAAAGATTCAGGGTCAGAAGTTGTGTTGTAAAGGCTCTCCTTCTAGCACATTCACTTCACCAGATGCACCTTGTTTCTTTTCCTCACCTTTGATTGGGTGTGGTGCTTGGCCTTAATTGCACTCACCTGTCACTCGTTATATAAGGACTGCATTCACCTACCCCTCACTCTTTCTTCACTCCCACATGGGGCGGCAGCTGAGGTGAGTTTCTCTTTGAGTCTCCTGAGTTCATGTATCATTTTGAGTTACCTAAATCATACTTTATGTCCTTTTGAGAGAGCAGTCCATGTGTCTTTCTTTCCTTCCTTCTTTGCCTTATTGATTTGAGTTGAGAATAAAAGGAGAACCCTGTGAATAATTCTGAATCAGATGGCTGCTTTTTCTTATTCTAACCGGATGAGCCCATGAT